ACAGGCCCACCTTCTCTAACCTCTGCGCCACCACTCCACCATGAATGCAAGGATGCAGATACTTCTGAGAACTGATGATTCAGTTCAGGGGTTCTCAAACGTTTTGGGTTCAGGGAACCCTTACAGGGGAGATAAAGTTTCAGGGACCCCCTCGTTACCCTCATGTTTATTAAATAATTTTCTTCAATTTGTCTCCTTAATGCAATGGAAATATTTGTGTAACATAAATACTTAAGACCTGTTCTTTAATAGTGTTAATGCAATTTTTATACTTTTAAACATGGACTATTTTTCATTCAAGACACAATTAACAACATTTTTTATTTCAACTTCCAAAAATCACAGTTTGGAGAAAATTAACAGAATCAAAAACCATTTTAAAACTTTACCTCTTCACATAATTAACAATAAATGTATTGCCACTTCTTAGTTGTGGGAGTTCTGGGGGTCCTCCCCCAGAAAATTTTGAATAAACTAAATGTTATTTCATGCATTTTGGTGTATTTTAAAGAGTTGTTAAATATGTGCTTGTAAAAAAAAACAAAAAAAAAACGAATACAAATTTTGCAGACCCACAAGCACCAGCTCGTGGACCCCACTCTGAGAACCACTGATTTAGTTTATTGTCAGTGATCTAAATGTCAAAGAATAAAAAGGATAATTTCTGCCTAAAATCTGACTTTCATTTGTGATTGATATAATTTTTTAACGCAAAGCTTTTGTACTGTTGTTTTTTGTGATGTTCTCACAAGCCATTTCATCAGTCATTGTTTCAAGGCCCAACATTAACTTTGCTGATTGGTCTGAAAATGGTCAGTCTTGAGTAAAACTGCTTGAAATACTATTTCAGACTATGGGGGTGAAAGAAACGGTTCAATTCAAAAATACTTTATTAATCCCAAAGGGAAATTATTTGTTGTTGTAACTTGTTATCCTCATTTCATTAAGAGATGTTATAGATGCTGATGGCTGTAGACAGGAAGGATCTCTTGTAAAGGTCCATCCCACAGTGGATCCTAAGAAACTGGCTGCAGATGCCGTTCGATCCGTCCACCCAGTTTCGGCTGGCCTCTCGGTTCCCCCGGGCTGTAGGATCGCCCGAAAGCTGAGCAGAACTCCTCCCAAAGCGATGGCCACTCCTCCCAGTAGTCTGCTGAGCTCCTCGTTGCTGCAGACAGCCAACTGTAGGTGCCGAGGGACGATCCTGTCCTTTCACTGTCATGACCCATGTTTCCTGCTAGTTCCAGGATCTCAGTGGTCAGGCACTCGAGCACAGCTGGCAGGTAGATGAGAATGCATTTACAGAGCCTCCTTTTCAACTCATTTGAGAATTGGGGCTGTAGTTGAGATATTATTTGAACTTTTGAGATGTTAATCAGCTGCTGTTGGTTGTAGAAAACTGCCTTGTTGCCATGGTTACGCATCATAACAAATGTCCAAAACTAAAAAAGTTTCAGTAAAAATCCTTCCAGCTGCTCAGCATCTGATACCAGAGGAAACAATCATCCAAAAAATGTGCTTTACATCCAGAAAAAGAGTGATTAAAGTTTCCAAAAGCAAAATCTCAGAATGAAAGTAACAGAGCTGCTCCAACATGCAGCCACCTTGAGTGGCGCAATTCTAGAATAGTTAAAAAAATAAAATAAAATGGTTTGTTTAAATCTGTATTTTATAACAAATAAACAAAACAAAGTTTGATTAAAAATGACTAAAATAAAAATTAATGGGCATAAAAAGTTATAAAGAAAAGCAGTTTTTTTTTATTTATGAGGTAAAATTGGCCATTTTAACCTCTAAGTTTTTACTCTTTTTTTTAAATCCTGCCCCAAGTGGCTATTTAAGGTACTGCATATTATTTTGTCAAGCATTGTCTGCACTTTTCTGCCCAGAGGATTGCTGTTTGCTGTTATCCTGCAAATAGTTTCAGTTCGTCCAAAGTAAAAAATAGAACACAGGTTACAGATTTGTTTTTCTTGACTGTATGTCATATCTGCCATTGTAGTTTCACAAAAATAATCTTTGCAAGCATTATACTTTAGCACAAATTAAATCTTGTCTGCATGATCTGATGCTGCTTCCCAAACCTAGCCACACATAAAAAGCATGCTGCAAGCCACTTTTTGTTTCTTAGAATAATAACCTCAGGCTGATGTTTGGGAGCTACGCTGGGTGGGGACATGAATTCTTAAATGCCTTCGGTGGAGACGTCATGGTTTCATATATCAGGTGTTTGAACTTTAAAGCTGAGATTAAATTACAGTCAAAACCTGATTTTTACAAAATGATTTATTCTTCTTTTCTAATGGTATTATATCCATAATAAAATCTCTTAACACAAAAGCCTCATTTATCTCAACTTTGGGTTTTATAAAAATCTGAAAGCTGATCAGTAAAATTGTCATTTTTAGCGAATAATACCATTTACAAGCAGCACGGTGGCTCAGTTGGTAGAGCTGCCGCCCGCCTCTCAGCAAGAACGTTGCCTGGTCAAATCCTAGATGGGGTGCTTTCTGGGTGGAGTTTGCATGTTCTCTCTGTGCATGCGTGGATTTTGTCCGGGTACTCCGGTTTCCTCCCACAGACCAAAAACATGCATGTTAGGCTGATTGGTAACGCTAAATTGTTCCTAGGTGTGAATGAGAGAGTGAATGGTTGTTTGTCTCTATGTGTCCCTGTGATGGACACGACCTGTCCAAGGTGTTCCCCGCCTCTCGCACAGTGACTACTGGAAATGGACCCCAGTGACCCGAAATGGACGATGAAATAATGAAAGATAATGGATGGAATAAGAATTACTGACTTTGTCTTTATGTTAAGATAAAAGTAAAAAAAAGTCAAACACAAAAATTAAAATGACTAAATAATGAACGTAAAAGTCCACTGCAGCAGTTTGACATTAGCTTAAAGCTTCATGTATGAGCACACGTGTTGTGAATTAGTTTCATAACCAGTTAGGCCAACCTAAAGTTGATGCATTATTGTTGGCCCTGCAACAAGCGGACAGCATGCTGCCTCAGAACAAAAACACATGAATGTTGGATTCTTAAGATAAAATGTTGCCATTAACTGTTCAGGAGTTCATCTTAGAAGTGTAAAAACTTGAGTTAAAAATCTGTTGAGGCAGCAGGTCTGTGGGGATAAAGCTGTTTAACAGCAGTTTATTTAAAAGAATTACTTTCATCACAAAAGTGTCCCTAACACCCAGTTGTTGTTTTATTTAAAAAAAAATAAAAATGCTAAAGCTGAACTTTCATTATGTGTTTTCAACTCCTACATACATATTTTGTATATATATATATTTGAAAGCCAAAGTAGGTAAGTGCACAAATAAATTATATTTCTGCCAAAAAATCAACACAACACTTTTGGATAATCAAACAAAAATAAAAGCCTGAGAAAAATAAATGGACACAACAACCCAAATTTTAAAAATCTGTACAAATCACACAACACTAATTTATTCCGGGACATGAAGTTTATTTTACAACTGAGGATAAAAGGATGTGATTCAGAATAACTGTGGTAATGACAAAACCTGGAAATTGGTCATTGGAGAACAAATATTTTCAAGCTTATATACAATCATCAGCATCACATCAGATGCTAGTAACTTCATATCATGTAAACCACATTGAGGGACCTACTTTTTACTAAAAAAAGGACATTTTGGTCCAACAATATTTTATAACTTTGTACATTCCCCCCAAATAGGTTTAGAAAATAACTGTGTAAAAATACACACGGTACAAATAATACTGGACTGTAATGAGCAAGATATGCGAACATACATGTACTTGTTAATTATTACAATAAGTTTTAAACTTCATTATCTTTACAAGTGTAGCTTCTTTAGAATAAAACTGGTGGCCTAACACAAAAACTGTACATGTTGGGAAAAGACAGAAACATATCTTAATCGAGAAAAACGGGGACTAAATGGCTTGTAATATCTTTGTAATAATAATAATTATAATAAAAATGATAAAAAAAGTTAACATTAGTTCCAAAATTTTGATAAAGGGAATTTCCACTAAAACATGACTTTTTTTAATTTAAAACTCAGTTACTTCTTCATCAGTTTATCGCTAAAAGTGCTGTAAATATCTCTCTATGTTTCTTCATCTAACTTTTTATGAATAGCTGTTTCAGGGACACCGGTTCATTTATCGTGATTGACATTTTATCTGACATAACATACTCACTGCTTTACATGAAAACATGCACAAACAGCTTCATAAATAATATGCAAGTTGATGTGAAATATATTAACCCTAAAATAATTTTTCAGAAACAGTTAATAAAATAAGAGTGTGGACGAGTTTTTAAAGAACATGTGAACTTTTCCTAGAGGCTCAGTTAAAATGGAGTGCATTGAAGATGCAACAGTCGATGACTGTATTGGGTTGTATGTCGCACCAGACTTATAGAATTGTACATCAGTAAAAATTCATCTTTCACAATGAGGCATATAGTCCCCGTAGTGCAAACTCTTGTCCTTCATGACAAACTGAATATTCTGAGTAAAAGGTGTTAAAGCTCCTTGTGTTTTCATGTGTTATTTATACAGTTGTGGCACTATCTGTGTTGACAGATCCAACCTAAGGCCAAATCCCATTTGCTAAGTTTACCCCTACCCCTAACTCTTAAATTTAAGTCACATGGTAGTGGTAAAAATATTCCACTACAAAATAACACCTCCTCCCAAGAAGCTGAAACGCCTTAATGGTTGCATATTGCTTTTACATCAACAACCACAAGGTGAACACGCTCATACACGTCAGCTAACAAGTTATTTGGCTTGCAAAACACTTTGAAATACATATTTTTTTTATGATGCTTGGTTAAAAAAAGATTGGCAGTGATACCAAATTTAATACAGCAAAAACAACAAACTACACATTACAATAGAGAAGATGTTTAAATTGTGAGGCTTCTTTGCTGTCTCAGCTTCCCTCCCTTTAAAGTGTACCTCTACCTGTTTGAAGAGCCAGGTAGTCCTACCCTCCTCCTACATCTCCAAAGGGATTGTAACACCATTACTTTAACCATGTGAACTTGCAAAACATAGTGCTAAAGATTAGGGGTATGGGGTGAATTGGGATTGGTGCTTTAGTGCAATGATGATCTGTCATGCCATCACCAATTTCACTGTTTATCAAACTTTTCAAGTTCTTTCACAAAGAAGAGATGGTCTTCTGGTGACTTTCCATGTGTTTTACAAAGGTGCAATTTGATTGCGTGTTTGCTCACAAATGTCCGATTGCACAGCTTGCACTGATATAATGAGCCAGAGTCTTCTTCTGTAAGTCCAGATGAAGGACAAGTTTTGTCTTCTATTCGGCTGACTGCCTGCTGCTCTAGTAGGTCTATGGAAAGCTTTGAGAGGTCCTTTAGGGTAAATCCAAGATGAGACTCCAAATGGTTAATATAGGATGAGGGAGTCATGAACTGGGAAGCACAGTCACTGCACAAAAACAGAGGTTGCCCAGAGTCAATGTTTTTGAGGAATTTTGTGCCCCCTGTCCTCTTTAACTGGTATTTCACATTGGCCAGCCAATGTGAGATAGTAGTCATGGAAAGACCAGTGAATTTACAGATGTGGACTCGTTCTTGGGGTCCCAGGTCACTGATAACAAACTTTCCCTCTGAAGTTTCTCGAAGACTGGAGGCAAATTGAGCCTGGAGAATAAGGAGATGCTGGGGATTCCAATTTGATTGGCGGCCTTTTCTTCTTTGAATGGGTGACAGTTCCTCCATGCTATCCTCAAAAGTATAACCATCTACATCTGATTTCTCAGAGATAGAAGATGGTGTTGTGGACTTTGGTGTTAAACGGCCAGTTAGATTCTTCACCATGTCTGAAATATCCATCAATGCATTCTCTCGAAGAGGTGAGGATGATGAAGAGAAGTTTTTGAAAATTGTTTTGCCACTGTTGTTATTTGGCGTTGTGGAAACAGCCTTAACTGAACAGGCATTGCTGTTTTTGGATTTTGTTAAGTCTATTGGCTGATCATTGTCATCATGATACTGACCCACAGGCTCTGCTTGTTTACTCTGAGTAGTGTTGCTCATCTTATAGAGCATTGCAAAGGGGTCCATAGAGGCTGTGGCCACCTTTGAAGCTTTCCCCAAGTGGTTGTTCATGACAGACTGCAAAGCACTAAGAGGACTGACAAGCGGTTGCTCAGGCGAGTGATCAGTGATAATGCTTAGGTTATTGCAGCCATTGCTAACATGTTTTTTTGGTGATTCACACTCACTTTTTATATTTACATCAATTGCAGTTTCTGTTTGGTCTCCTTTACATTTTGGATCAACCTGAGCTTCAACTGCAATGCTTTTTGCTGCTTTAGATACATTTTCTGGATTGGGTGAAGTCCGTTTGTCCTTGGAATTTGGCATTGGAGACTTTGTCAATCTACACTTACTCTCAGCAGACTTTTCCTCCTTTTCATTACTTACAGAATTACTTCCTGTCATTTTTTCCACCAGCTCCTCCATGGCCAGTACATTGCTCTTGTGACTTAGAGGTGATGACGGGCTATTTGGTGAATGAATCAGGGAACCTATATCAGAAGACATTACCTTCAAACTGGTGCTGCTGAACATTGGCTGAATTGGTGCACATGAGGGCAAGGTAGACTTCAAAGACCCATGAAGTTGATAGGCAGCATGAATGCTGGGATATCCTCCCCAGGTTGGTGCTCCTGTTTGTGCTTTGCTGATTGCACTTGAAACTGTATTTTCCAAAGATTTCAATATGTCTAGGCCACCTTTAGGTGTCTCTTCTAAGTCTTCTTCTGTAAGATACCGGTAAGATCTGGTTTTTATAGTTTTTTCATTTTTTTCAAAATTATCTTCTTTTTCCTCCTTGATTTTTTTCTCTGGCTCTCTTACTTCTATTCTCTCTTCCTCTGTCTCATTATCTTTTGTTTCCTCGTGTTTTTCTTCAGGGCTAGAAGGTTGCAATGGGGAGTCGAGATGTGACTTACCATTGGGTGCAGGGAGTCGTGTGGTAGTAGGAGGCAAAGGAATCGACTGAATTTTTTCCTCAATTACCGGATCTAAAACTAACTGCTTGCCCTTTTTAGAAGCTGAATTTGTCACTTTAAGAAAGTGTCCTGTGACCATCATGTGGGCCGTCAGTTGTTGCAAAGTGTCATGTGAACTACCACATTCCATGCATTTGAGAATTTGTGCCTTTCGTGCTTCAAACTGCCAGGTATAACTGGCACCATTCTGGTAACCATATCGATTGTTAGGAGTGACATAGGGATTAGACACTTTTTGGTCTTTAGTAGAATCTCCCAGGAATATTCCTGATGAGGCAGACTCTGGTGAACTAGGAGACATCAAGTCCTGAAACACTCTTTTTTTGGCTGGTGGCATCAGCTTCGAGGTGAGGGCTGGCATTGGTTCTTTGAGAGGCACTTTTTGATAGTGTTTTGTTTTGATCATGTGGACACTAAGATCTTGCAAGGATTCAAAAGAGTGGCCACAATACATGCATTTGAGAACTTTCTGGGCATCTTCTTTACCTTCCATTTCTAGCAGGGAACGCTTCCGTGGCTTGGACCACCTCTTGCTTCGATCATCCTCAGAATCTTTGTTGTCATCACGATAGTGGCCTGTTTCATTCATATGCACAGTTAGACCAACCAAGGTGTCATAAGCAGCACTACAGTCCTTACAACGAAACTTGCTGGCTCCAGTAAACACTGGGCCATAAAGTTTATTATTTTGTCTGTAAAGCTGCACGGTGCTGAAAAGGCTGGGCTCAGGAAGAAGTTGGTATGGAGTATGCTGTAGAGTTTTAGCTAAAGCTGCCTGATGCCAGTCATAGGCCAGTCCTCCAGAGCTAATGCCACTGTTGCTGTTACTTGACACTGTTTTTGCAGGAGTGCTGGTGGTGGTATTGTTAGTGGTGGCCGAGGCGTCATTACTGCTACATCTGTTCTTTACATGAGAGTTGCTTGAACGGTGGCTGTCCAAAAATCCATTGATCCCTTTGTGATTGCTACCACTGCCTTTGCTAGCAGCCAAAGGGGTTCCTTGTTTACTTTTAAGCATGTCCAGGGCAATGCTAGACCAGGAAGCATCTGAGATCAAGTTTGCATAGACGGCTTTCATTTTTGTCAGACTGTCCTGTAGCGAGAGGCCATTGATGGACTCTTTACTTTCCTGATGCTTTTCTTCGATCCCCTCCTGATCATTGAAGGAGGAGGAGGTGGTCTTAACATCCACTAATTGATCGCTGGTGGTACTGAGAGGAGAAGCATACCCAGCATCTGGGTTAGTACCATTGCTGAGTGGAGAGTTTTGGCAGCTGTAAGTTTCTCTGGCATCCTCTTCATCATTGAAGAGATAGTCTGCATCTTGGCCATCGAGGGAAAGGCCATCATCTTGCAGATGTTCCTCTTTATCAGGCTTGTCCACTTTAAATTCATCTTCAGGTCCATAGGCTGAAAAACAAAACAGACAGAAAAGGAACATTAGATGTTAATTTATGTGCACTAATTTATATTGCACAAAAAATCACTCTTCACCGTCACTATTTATCAGTGTTAAAGCAATAAATTTAAAGACATTTTGTCAGTTGTCCAAAAGACAGAATAAATGAGCAAACATCCACAACTTGACATAACAGTTAGTTGTTTTACTTCTAATATTAATATTGAACACTACAGTCAGAAAAAGGAAAGAACAATAGTGAATTAAGAACTGTTTTAAATTATTAATTAAAAAAAGCTACCGTAAATATCAGATAATATTATACAAAAAGACCTGTTATCCTGTTCCTCACAACATAAATTAGCATTTTTTTCAGTTTTAATACATAAAAGACAAAATTTGTTGTAGATGTAACATGCATTTATTGTGAACTATATGCAAGCATATCAATATTTCTTTGTTTAAAATCTGCAAAATTTAATTTTTAAGAAAGTGACAAACCAAACCAAGGCGGTGGTATGAATTTAAATGTTTTTGAGGTACAGATCTTTTTCAACCTTTGCTCAGTTTTCCTGTCTCATAAATTCTATGGATTAGGACTAGAAGATAATGGAGCAAAATGTCAGCTGCATCAGCCTTGCCAAGCCACAGTTGGCTGGAGTCGACTTGGCATCGACTGTGGAAGTCCTCACAGTGTGATGTTAGGAAACAGCCAGTGGACATGAGAAGGCATGTTGTTACTGGCTGTGCCCCCTATGTACTTGTCATTTTAAAAGAAGAGAGGAAATTTGTTGCATTACTGGCCAACTTTATGTGCTAGTGTCCACAGATTTTACAAACCTACAATATCTGTATTAAATATCAGTTTGTGTTGTCTTAAATTAACAATGCAACTATATATATACATATCTCTATATCTATCTCTCTCTCTATCTCTATCTCTATCTCTATCTCTATCTCTCTCTCTCTCTCTCTCTCTCTCTCTCTCTCTCTCTATATATATATATATATATATA